GTGAAGAAGTCATTGCTCAAGTTCACAGACTCCCCAAGTGGACGTCACTCATAGTGATATAACTGACCCTGACCGTTCTCAGAGGACAATGGAAGACTTAGTGGGAGACAAGGAGTTAGACTCCCGGTAGGCAGACAGACAGATAGCAAGGGGGGCCGTGGCTATGTAATTAAGATGGCAAATTTGCAAGACGGCTGGCGTCTTCCTTACCCTCCTAACGGGCTTTTGTCTCCCACCAGCAGGTCCTTGCCGGTGGACTGGCTCACCCTTCCCAGGGCAAAGTCATGAAACACTACAATTCTGGGCCAATCCACCACCCCAGCTTTCTTCAAAATGACCAGCCCTAAATTAGGGGACGAAACCTCCACAGAAACTCTTGAACCCCAGCCCTCGGGAAGAGCCTGGAACTGTGGGCTTTCTGAGTCCCCCCTGCTTTGCAGAGGGTCTTGTTCCCTGCATGCCTGCTGCATGCGTGTCTCCTCGCGCCCAGAACCACCTTGTTTCTTCTGCTGAGTCTGCCTGCGAGGTGTGAGATTTCTCTGCGCTGCGGCTACCTGTTGCGCGTCAGAATTTTCCTGCCTTTTAATTCTTTAACTGGCAGAGAAAATCAGCCCGATCAAGACCCCTAGGCTGCCAAAAAAAAAAAGACCCCTAGGCTGTATCTTTTGGGGGGCTCATCTCTGCTTTCTTCCGAAGACTGGGTCACGTACAGCCCAGCCCAGCCTGGTTCACTCTCAGCAATGATCGGAAGAGATCTTTGACTCAGATGTTCCCTCCATGGTTCTCCTGTGGCAAGGATAAGGGGGTTGAAACAGGGTCTCATGGAATAACCTTGACTGTCCTGGAGCTCCCAGTGTAGACCAGGCTGGCCTTGAACTCAGAGATCTGCCTGCCTCTGTCTCTGCCTCAGCACTGCCGGCTTGTTACAAAGTTCTGCTAACTAACTGTTTCCAAGTGCACTGCAAAGGAAAAACAAACAAAATCTTGTCAATTACCTGGCCCACAGTACACTTTGAACAAAGACAGGGGCTGAGGTCATAGGGGGAGGATGAGTCACTGTCCCTACCTGGCACCAAGATGCAAACTTTGTCTTGGCTGATTTTTCAACATCAAGGTCCCAGGTAACCCAGGCTGGCCTCTATGTAGCTGAGGATGACCCTAAGCTCCTGATCCTCCTGCCCCCACCTGCTGGGTACTAGAATCACACAACACCTCTGGCAAGGGAGACTTTGTGCCAGAAGTCCACATCTGGAGACCCTGGAAATCCTGGGCTTGGTTCTCTGTGGCCACGCCAGAGGAAGAGAAAGCCAGGGTTGCAGCGTTAACCTGACTTCTAAATCCCAACTCAGAAGCTGAGGCAGTTTGGACAGGAAATGTCCCCCAGAGGCTCAGCCACCTAAAGTTTTGGTAAGTGGTCCCCAGTTGGTGAATCTGTTTGGGGAGGGTGCACACCTGGCTGAGGGAGTGTCAGGCTTCGGGGGTGTGCTAAGGCACGCACTCTATCAATCCACATATCTATCTATCCAGAGGTGTGTGAGAGGCTGTGTCACGCCCAGTGACCTCACGACCCTCTCTACCCCAGCAAACGCAGGGCGTAGGTCCCACTCTGCGGCCACTCAGGGGTCCCTTCAGCTGTGGCTGTGGGCCACAGTGGGGCTGGACTCAGACAGCCTGGCCGGGGTCCTGATCCCTTCCTGCGAGCCCGGGGGAGACAAGAGCTGTGAGCAGCAGGTCCTGAGTCACTCAGACAACCTTTGCAAATGGGGGCAAGTGCTGCTGCGACCGACCACCTCTGAGGAACTCAGCTGCAGGCTGTCCAGGTTCCGGCTCTGCACCAATCAGTATGCAGTGCTTCCCCAGGCTGCTTCTGGGGGTCTGGAAAGCCCACCAGAAGGAAGGGATTCTTCAAATGAGAAACCACAGCAAGGAGGACAGTTGTCTGTGGTCACCAGGCTGAGGAGACACACACAGACAGTCTTTTTCTGACTGAAAACACAATTCTAGCAGTCAGGCTTCCTTCTTGGTTCCTGAGATTGAGTCCCTGGGCTTGGGGATGTGTTTCAGTTTCCTGATCCTCGCCATGAAGGTTATGGGATCTGCCAAATAGAGGATGCCTGATGGAGCTGTTGGGATCAGTTGGTTGTTAGGCCGATGTTACTATGTTACCATGTTGCGATGTTACAGTGTTACAGAGGAAGGTCTAGTGTCTAGTGGTCTTTCAAAGCTAGGGACTAGAATTTACAAGAAAATACCAGGAAGGGGGCTGGAGAGATAGCTCAGAACACTGGGTTCTGTTCCCAGCACCCACTTGGTGGCTCACAATCATCTGTAACTTCAAGTTCCAGTTGATGCCCTCTTCCCAGCTCTAAGAAGACAGACATATGGCTCACAAACATTTGTGAGGGTGAAACAACCACACACACACACACACACACACACACACAGTGCATAAATATTGCTTTCTAAAATGATATTGTAAAAATAAATAACCAGGCACATAGTAGGTGTTTTGCTGATTGGATCCACCAAGCAAGCTGTGTGGCCTTAGCCAAGTAGGTGACCTCTCTGTGACATGAGCACACGTGACTAAGAGGGACTTGGGGGACCAGGCAATCTTTGTCCTCTGAAAGTAAATTCAATTTCAGAAAACAGCTAAATTCACGTGGAATGGAGTCTGGTGACTGAGGCCAGGGATCCAGTTGAGAAATGTCCCTTTGAGTTGAAAGCAGTGGTAATTACAGAGCCTCAGCCTGTTTGTCCGGCAGCCTAAAGTCCAGGAGCAGGCGATCAAAGTGCCTGCTGCTTATCTGGGGCCCAGACCCGTCCCTCGTCCCTGCACCAGAGACTCAAACCCAAAAGAACCTCTGACCCAAACCTGAGTGTCCTTCCCACGCCTCAGGCCACCAGCCCTGGGGCTGCCCCTGGGAATTCAAGTACTGCTCTCGAGGGGAGGGGATTTAAATGCATCTACTCAAGATGACTCTAGTAATTATCTTTATTTCTAAAGTTTTGTTTATTGTGTGTTGTGTGTGCACATGTATGCGCATATGTATGTTTACGTGTGTGTGCAGGTATGTGTACGTGTCTGTGTGCGTGTGTGTACGTGTGTGTCCATGTATGTATGCGTGTGTGTAAGTATGTGTACGTGTGTGCAGGTATGTGTTCGTGTGTGTGCAGGTATGTGTACGTGTGTACAGGTATGTGTACGTGTGTGTAGGCATGTGTGCGTGTGTGTCCATGTATGTGTACGTGTGTGTGCAGGTATGTGTACGTGTGTACAGGTATGTGTACGTGTGTGTGCAGGTATGTGTACATGTGTACAGGTGTGTGTACGTGTGTGTGTGCAGGTATGTGTACTGTGTGCAGGTATGTGTACGTGTGTGTGCAGGTGTGTGTACGTGTGTGTGCAGGTGTGTGTGCGTGTGTGTGCAGGTGTGTGTATGTGTGTGTGCAGGTGTGTGTACGTGTATGTGCGCGTGCACACGTGAGTACAGGTGCCACAGGTGCCAGCGGCAGCAGATTCCTGGAGCTTGATTGCGGGCGGTTGTGAGCTGCCCAATGCCGGTGCTGGGAGTAGAAAACAGCAGCGCGTGCTCTTGGGCACCGAGCCTTCTCTCCAGCCGCCTTCTTTGGAGGGAGGTCTGTCTTTTCCGACCGTCCAGCCACTTTTCCAGTTGCCGCTTTGTGGTGCCCAGCTGGGCCTTTGCTTCCGGAATGCTAGGATTTGAACCGCCATGGCAGGTGTTTTTGTTTTGTATTGTTTTTTAAGATGGGAGGAGTGATCTCAATTTTGTGGTCCTCCTAACGCCACCTGCCTTCCAAGAACTGTAATGATAGGCATAGTCCCCAGCCCAGAAACTATTTATCTTCTAAAATATTCAAAATTGTGTGTTAAAGTCAGGCAGTGGTATCACACACCTTTGATCTGAGCTCTCAGAGGCGAAGGCAGGCGGATCTGAGTTTGAGGTCAGCCTGGTCTACAGAGCAAGTTCCAGGATAGCCAGGGCCACACAGAGAAATCCTGTCTCAAAAAAAAAAAAAAAACAAAAAACAAAAAAAAAACTAAAAGTAAAATAATTTTTTTTTCTTGGTTTTTCGAGACAGGGTTTCTCTGTGGTTTTGGAGCCTGTCCTGGAACTTGCTAAGTAAAATAATTTTATAATGAATGTTATTACAATGTTAAAATGTGGGCTGAAGAGATGGCTCAGCTATTAAGGTCACAAACTCCTTCTGCAGGGGACCCAAGTTCTGTTTCCAGCACTCACGCTGGGCAACTCACATAGGCCTAGGACTATCACCTCAGCTTCATAGAATCCACATCCTTCTGGCCTCCGAGGACACCTGCACTCAAGTGCACACACCCACACACAGACACACATGTATTATATAATTAAAAATAATAGCCTGAGCCGGGCTGTGGTGGCGCATGCCTTGAATCCCAGTACTCAGGAGGCAGAGGCAGATGGATCTCTGAGTTTAAGGCCAGCCTGAGCCTGGTCTACACAGTGAATTTCAGGCTAGCCAGAGTTACATAGTAAGACCAGGGGAAACAATAACTAATTAATAACCTAGGACCTGGAAGATGGAGGCAGAAGAATCAGGAGTTCAGCTGCGTAGTGAGTTTGCGGCCAGTATTTGAGGGAGACACTGGTTGGGAGGTTGGGGACAACTGGAGAATCAATCAGTCTAACCTTTTACTCTCCAGTCCCCCACCCCCACTGAAGTGTTACATAGGGAAGCGCCTCATTTAGGTGGAGGGTCCTTCGGGCTGCTGTGCTGAGGAGCATTGTGTGTTCAGATCCTCCCCTCAGTGGCTGAGTCGCTGGGCTGGAGCGCCTGGTCTTTAGAAGTGAGTCCTAGCCAGAGCCGGAGCCGCGCAGGTGGGGAGAAGCTGAGCTGAGATTAGCTACTGAGGGGGATGAGAGGTTGTTAACTACCAGGCACGGGAGAGGAGTGACCAGTGACAGTGACAGGACACGCGACAGGCGCCCAGGAGCACCATGCCTCTGCAGGAGGAGACCCTCCGGGAAGTGTGGGCCTCAGACAGGTGGGAACCCCCACATGGTCCCATGTGAACCCCAGGCCCCATTTGCAGGACCACAGTGGTGGTGGCGGAGTGGGGGGAGTAGAAGAAGGGAACAGCCTGGTTCCATTGTACCCTCAGTGGCCATGAAGAGGACTGGCTGAGCCCGGAACCGCAGCAGCGCCCCAAGCAGGTGTGTCAACAAATTTGGGGTTTGGAAAGGAGGCACGAAGATGCCCCTCGGGGTACACAGGAAGGGAGCTGTAGGGGAGAGGTCCTCTCAACTCTTTACCCGGAAAGTTTAGGAGGAGAAAGGGGGTTAGGAATGGGGTGCCCAGGAACATTTGGGGGGCTTTGGGTCTTGGAAGTGGCTCTCATGCGAGTATGGGTCATCCACACTGAGAAGGGACTGCAGCACCCCTTGGGATAATCCGAGGCTATTTCTGGCGGCACCAAGGGATTAGAGGGGGATAGGAGCCCCAGAGTCCCCTTCTCTCCTGGTGACCCCTATTTCACAGCGACCCACCCAGGGACAGAAATTGAGGAAAAAGAAGTCTGAGACCCCGGAGTCTCAGGGATCCAAGCCCCGCAAAGCTGGAGGTGAATCCTGGGGGGTGTGCGGGTGGGTATGGGCCGGGGAGGCTGAAGTGGGGACCTCTGAGACAGAACTCTGCCCACACATCTGGTCCAGCTGGGCGCAAGAAGCTCGAGGGGCCGCCCGCAGACCCCGCAGAGGCGCGCGCTGTGCCTACAGTCTACGCCAAGTTCCTTCGGGACCCCGAGGCCAAGAAGCGGGATCCCCAGGAAACCTTCCTGGTCGCCCGCGCCCCAGATGTGGGAGGCGGTGAGTGAGGCGTACCGAGGGAGGGGCAGACAGTGTGAGCAGTGATCACCCAGGCCAGGCGTGGGTTCCCCTGCTCTATCTCTGTTACACTTATGGAGAAACTGAGGCAGCATGGGTCCAAGTTTAAAAGCCTTGAGCTACAGTTAGTAGTCAAAGTACCCCAGATGGTGGTAACGGTGAGAAGGCAAGTCAGGAGGGAGCAGAGCAGGGTGCCGCCCACCGCAGCCCCGTGCAGGAAGGGGCTTGAAGCCCCTCAGCACCCTGCAGGGTCTGGATCTCTGGAGCCTGTATTACAAAGAGTATTCTATCCATAGTGGAGGATTTGGAGGAGGATTCCGATGACGATGATGAAGAGGATGAGGAAGAGGGGGGAAAAGAGAAAAGCTCTCTGTCCCCCAGGAGACCACCCAAGGGAAGAGAGAAGAAAGCCAAAGCCCTAGACCAGCGGGGTAGGTGCAGGGAACCCCCAGGAACCCACCCACTGACAGGCAGAAAGAGCTCCCAGCACCGGTGCAGAGTCCTCCCCTGGCCCTCTCTCTTCAATGCTAGTTCCTAGGTCCCTAAGGAGATCAGTTCTCAAGGCTGCGACACACTGCAAAGGGCGCGCCAAGGAGGAAGGTTCTGTTTTCTTTGTGGGCTTTGCTTTGACTTTGTGTGGATTATAATTTGTTTTGTTTTTTGTTTGTTTTTCTTTTTTCTTTTTTTCTTTTTTGGTTTTTCGAGACAGGGTTTCTCTGTGGCTTTGGAGCCTGTCCTGGAACTAGCTCTGTAGACCAGGCTGGTCTCGAACTCACAGAGATCCGCCTGCCTCTGCCTCCCGAGTGCTGGGATTAAAGGCGTGCGCCACCATCGCCCGGCTTTTTTGTTTGTTTTTTGAGACAGGGTTTCTCTTTGTAGCCCAGGCAGTCCTGGGCTACAGAACTCACTCTGTCGACCAGGCTGGGCCTCGAACTCAGAGATCCGCCTGCCTCTGCCTCCTGAGCGCTGGGATTAAAGGCGTGTGCCACCAGAACCCAGCTAACGTTATAATTTTTATTAAGTAGATGGAAGTAAAAGGAAATCCCGACTAAAGACAGTGAGGGCTCCCAGCCTGGAAGGTCTGGTCAGAAATGTGTGCCATGCTTGGTGGGATCTCCGTGGAGCATCAGAGGCTGAGCTCATGGCTGGGGAGGGTCCCTGGAAGAGAGACTGACTGGAGGAGGACTAAGGGTTGAAGTGCCAGCCTGGCTTCCATTCGTTCCCTCACTCATTCCTTCCGTGCCTCTTAAGCTGATTCCTAGCCAGATCGTTTTTTTAGACTCAAGAGAAAGTAACTTCAGAACCATGGACCACAGTCCCCTGTCTGGTGTTCAGCACTCTGGTAACTGCAGGCTGAATGACAGGGTTAGAAGGTGATCCTTGGCCCAATAGGTTTCTTCTTTCCCGACCCCCCCCCCCAAACCTCCTATTCCCAGGGGACCTAGGAAGCCCTGAAGCCCCCCGAAAACCATCCCACACCAAGAAGAAGGAGGCAGGGGAGGGAACCAAGCTGAAAAAGGCAAAGAAGAAAGGTAAGGGGGAGGGGTGGATACTGACAGACGGATGGACGGAGGACAGGGGTCGTTGGGTGTGTTGAAATGGTGACCCCCTTCTTGTATCCTCTCTGCAGGGGCTGGGGAGGCTGACAAGGACCCCTCGAGAAGTCCAGCAGCCCTGAGGAAGAAGACTCCAGCAGCCATGTTCCTAGTTGGGGAAGGTGGCCCGGCTGAAAAGGACGTGAAGAAGAAAGGTGCATGGCGGAAGGGTGGCGGGACCATGGGCATGGTGTGTGCTGTGAGGAGTGAGGGGGGCAAGAGCTGGACCCCGTGGGGGCGTCCTGACACCCTTGTCCTGACAGCCAGGTGGCTCCAAGCGGGTGGCCTTTCTGAGGCTCTGATCAGAACCTTTTTATGGGCGTGGAGAGGATTAAAGGGGAGCGTGGGTGTGGGGAACACCTGGCCAATCAGGATGAAGGGTCTACAGCCTTTCTCCCTCCATGTTCAGGGCCAGCCAAAGGCTCAGAGGAAGAGAAGAAGGAGGAAGAGGAGGAGGAAGAGGAGGAGTCTTCAGCCATGAAGAATAGCAACCAGAAGGGCCGAGCGAAAGGGAAAGGCAGAAAGGTTGTCACCCAAGGGGCAGATGTGGGGGGCTTTGGGGCTAAGGACTTGGCTCCCCACCCATGACTGGGCACACGGCCTAGGAGCTTTGGGCTCAAGGGGACAGAGGAGGCATGGCTCAGGCCACCCACAGCCCTTACATACTCTGCCGTCCAGGCCTTCCCTCTGCGGTATGACTACCAGGCAGTCCCCAGTGAGAAGACATGTGTTAAAATACCAGGGAAGGGCCAAGCAGTGGTGGCACAGGCCTTTAATCCCAGTACTCGGGAGGCAGAAGCAGGTAGATCTCTGTGAGTTCGAGGTCAACCTGGTCTACAAAGCAAGTTCCAGGACAGCCAGGATTGTTACTCAGAAAGACCCTGTCTTGAAAAAAACAAAACAAACAAACAGGGAGGCCGAGCATACAGCAGCAGGACTCTGGGTTTCGTTTCGGGAGGGTGGAGGTGGGGGAATGGGATGGGATAAGGTCTTGCTATGTAGCCAAGGCCAGTCTGGAACTCCAGATCTTTCTACCCTCACTGGTACTGGGATTTCAGATGAAAGTCTAAGTCTGCATCTGGAAGGCACATCTTATACTCCTTTGGGGCACCGAGTGGCCGGAAGTTGGCTAGCGGGAGCCACTGTTAAAATACTTCACCCTGTGCCTGCAACCCCAGCGCATGGGCGGTGGAGGCGGCAGGACCAGGTGTGCAGAGCTAACCTCAGCTACACAGTGAGGTTGATGGCCTACATGAGACCCTGTCTCCAAAAGCAAGGCTGGAGAGATGACTCAGCAGTTAAGCGCATTGGTTGCTCTTGTCAAGGAACCAGGCTTGATTCCCAGCACCCGCAGGGCACCTCACGTTTCCACTTCCAGGGGATCTGATACCCTCTTCTGACCTGAAGGCACCGGGCATGCATGAGGTACACAGACCCATACAGGGGAAAACACTCACACAATTTTTTTTTAAATTTATTTATTTATTATGTATACAATATTATTCTGTCTGTGTATATGCCTGCAGGCCAGAAGAAGGCACCAGACCTCATTACAGATGGTTGTGAGCCACCATGTGGTTGCCAGGAATTGAACTCAGGACCTCTGGAAGAGCAGGCAATGCTCCTAACCACCGAGCCATCTCTCCAGCCCTCACACAAATTTTTTTGAGACAAGGTTTCTTTTTCTTTCTTTCTTTCTTTCTTTCTTTTTTTTTTTTTTTGGTTTTCGAGACAGGGTCTTTCTTTCTTTCTTTTTTAGAGTTTTTGCTTCTTTGTACTTTTTAAAAAAGATTTATTTATTAAGCATACAATGTACTGCTGGCAAGGAAGGCACCAGGTCTCATTACAGATGGTTGTGAGCCACCTTGTGGTTGCTGGGATTTGAATTCGGGACAGCCAGTTCTCTTACCCTCTGAGCCATCTCTCCAGCCCCGAGACAAGGTTTCTCTGTGTAGCTTTGGAACCTATTCTGGAACTTGCTCTGTAGACCAGAATGGCCTCGAACTCACAGAGATCCACCTACTTCTGCCTCCCAAGTGCTAGGATAAAAGCTGTGTGCTACCACTGCCTGACGAAAAAAATAAATCTTTAAATAAAGTAACCAATTAATCTCTGACTGCCAAAGGCTCCAGAATCTTTGCCAAAGCTTAGAGTCTATTCTGATTTGACATGTTCCACTATCAAGACATGTCGCTAAGGACTTTGAATGACAACCTATGCACACACAAGGAGGCCTGGCTGAGAGTTAAACTCTCCTTGAGAGGGAGAGACCTCCAGGAGCCAGCCCTGGATCAAGCTCTGTGGGTTTAGTAGTTTGTGTAGGAGTGTCAGGTCTTCGGGGATGGATTCGTGTTAACCAAGATCACTGCCATTGCTGTCCGGGGTGTTTTATTCCAGGTGGAAATGCCCTCCCCACAGCAGGCGTCCACATTCACAGGTGCAGAGACGTTTGAGTCAGTGATGACTTTTCTCACTTCGCATTCCAGACATAGTCTTGTGTTTCCCAAGTTTCTTCTGGAGCCGGCTGGAGCACAGTCAAGATGGTCATGTGCCCCTTGGCCAAGGGCCCCAGGCTGTGTTCTACCACCTGCAGCGTAGGATTGCCCCCAGCAGAAGGCTCCTCGGTCCTCACAGATAACTTTGAGGCCTCAGGTGCTGACACCCCCAGCCTGATAGGTCAGTCGCTCTCCTGAGGAGTCCTGGCTCCTCTCACGGAGCAGCAGGAGAAAGGGCGCGAGGTCTCACCCTGCCTCCTTCGGTAACTGAGGTGTTACTAGGAAATTCTCCAAGCTGACAGGTTCCTGAGTCAGCCAAGTCTTGCGTGAGTCAGCTAGGTCTTGCTGCATAACAAATGGCCTCCAAGCTTTAGTGTCTTCAGCTAGGGAGCCAGCTTTCCTGCTTGGTCTCTAAGGGTCACAAATCTAGGGACGGTTTCCCAGAACCATGTGGGCTCAGGGTGTCACACGAGGTTGTACTTACCTGAAAGACTGACTTGGAATGGACCGTTCATTTCTAAAGTGGTTCAGCCATGGTTGTTGGTTGGAGGCCCTTCTTCCTTTCTACAGAGACCTCTCCAGTAGGCATGGCATGACCCCCATTTCTATAGAACAGGGATGGCTACCCCAGTGTGTTAATGAGAATGCAGAGTCGATATTTGGAGTACTAGGCATGGTGGGACACGCCCCTACTCCACGCACTGGGAGGCCAAGGAGGATTGCAGTGGGGCCAGCCTGGGTCCTGGAACTCATTCTGTAGACCAGGCTGGCCTTGAACTCACAGAGATTCTCCTGCCTCTGCCTCCTGAGTGCTGGGATTGATTAGAGGCACCACCACCACCCAGCACCAGGAGATCTTGTACCCTCTTCCGGCCTCCAGGGCACCAGGCACACGCGTTGCACAGACTTGCAGACTAAACGCTCACATCTATTATTAAAAAACAAAAACCAAAACCCTATCACCACCACAACAGAGCCAGATGTGGCAGATAGCTCATAGCTGTTGTCCCAGAACTTGGGAGGTGAAGGCAGGAGAATCAGGAGTTCGAGGCCAGCCTCCAGAACACAGTGAGTTCAAGGTCAATCTGGGCTTTATGAGACCTTATCTTTAAATATGAAAATGGGGTTGGAGAGATGACTTAGCAGTTAAGAGCACAGGCTGGGGGGCTGGAGAGATGGCTCAGTGGTTAAGAGCACTGGCTGCTCTTCTAGAGGTTCTGAGTTCAATTCCCAGCCACCACATGGTGGCTCACAACCATCTGTAATGAGATCTGGCGCCCTCATCTGGTGTGAAGGTGACCATGCAGGCAAAACACTGTGTATATATAATAAATAAACCTTTAAAAATTTAAAAAAAAAGAAATGCAAAAAAAAAAAAGAGCACAGACTGTTCTTCTGAGGACCAGGGTTCAATTCCCAGCACCCACATGGTGATTCACAACTTCCTGTAACTCCAATTCCAGGCAATCTGACACTGTAACACCAACATACATGCCGGCAAAACACTAATGCACACAAAATAAAAATATATATAAAATGGAAACAAGAAAGTTGTAACTAGCTGACCGACCCTTAGTGGTGGAACATGAACTCAAACTGGGACTGTCTGGGTTCAACCTAAATAGTTATAATACATTGCAGAATTCCAGAGCCTTCTCTCATGAGGTTGGGCTTCTAGGCTGTGGGGGATGGAAGTGCCTCCACCCAGGACATATCTCCTTTTTCCCTCCAGAAAGTGGTGAGTGATGGCCTGTCCTGCCTGGGGTGCAGAAGGGGACCTATGAAGTGGGGTGTCCTGGCTGATGCACTGTCTGCCTGTGCAGAAGGAGAACAGGGCTTCGTCTCCCCCCTTGGAAGTGGGTGAACCTCGGGAGTTTGTGCTACAGCCAGCGCCCCAGGGCAGGGCAGTGCGCTGCCGGCTGACACGGGACAAGAAGGGCATGGACCGTGGCATGTACCCATCGTACTTCCTACACTTGGACACAGAGAAGAAGGTTCTGAGAGAGGGGCTGGGGGTGTCTAGGACTGGGGCAGTGTCTAGGTCTAGGGCTGGGGGCTGTCTAGGGCTGGGGGGTGTCTAGGGCTGAGGGGTGTCTAGGGTAGGGGCAGTGTCTGGGGCCTCCCGGGTACCCCAGTTCCACTTTGTCACCTCTCTGTTCCCTTCTCTGCAGGTGTTCCTCTTGGCCAGCAGGAAACGCAAGCGCAGTAAGACAGCCAACTACCTCATCTCCAGGGACCCTACCAACTTGTCCAGGGGAGGGGAGGACTTCATCGGAAAGCTGAGGTGCGGCTGCACTTCCGGGCCACGGGCAGTCACCTCTGTGCCACTGTGGCTGGCAGAGTGACCCCACATGGGATGCTCCAGATGCTCCTTCAGCCTAGGGCATCGCACATTCTGACAAGCCTGGATGTCTTGGAGACCTGATGTAGATGGTCTTGTGGGCTTGAGATGGGCCCCTGGCACTGCATGCCAGCATCTCCCCCAAGGGATGGGGACTATACAGGCCTGACAAAGGCTCTCACAGAGATGGACTCTGTCTAGCTCCATAAGGGCGGGGCCCTTTTCATGGAGTGCTACCGGCTCCCACACAGTACCTTCTCTGAGGAGGTGTACTACTGGGTGTGATGGGACGTGATATAATCCCAGCACTTGGTAGTTAGAGAAAGAATTATCAGGAGTTCAAGGTCACCCTTGATTGTTTAAGGAACTTAGAGGTAGCCTGGGCTACATTAGACCCTGCCCCATTTCCCCCAAAAAAGGAGGAGAGAGAAAGGGGATGTAGTTAAATTGAAAGAGAAGAGTATTTGCTTAACCAAGTTTGATCCTAGCACCACATAAACCAGTTACCATGGAACACACCTGTAAAACCAGCAACCAGCACCAGGAGGCAGAGACGGGAGAATCCACAGTTCAAGGCCAGCCTGGTCTACCTCAGGAGAGGATGTTTCAAGAGCAAAGGAAAGCAGTATTTACTGAGTGTATGAACAAGCAAAGGGAGACTCAATGAGGCCAGGCAGGTTTCCCTATGGCGGCTCAGCTACCCGCTAGTCTGAAAGGACTTCTTTTTTTTTTTTTAATGTGTAGCCTAGGCTGGCCTCAACTCGTGATCCTCCTGCTTCTGCCTCCTTCAGCAAATCCTAGCTGCAAGTACCACCACAACTTTTCACAAAAGTCTGTAGGAGCCTGCCCATGCCTCAGGCATAATCTTGAGCACTTTCCAAACATTAACCAGAAATTTCATCCTTTTACCAAGCAAACCAGAGGAGGATTGTAGCTATTGTAGATTTACAGAGGGGAGGACTCAGGGGGTAAGAGTCCTTGCCACCAAGCCTGATGCCCTGAACTCAGTCTCTTGGGACCCACATGATAGAAGGAGAGAACTGGCTCCTGATCATTGTTCCCTGACCCCTGACGGCCGCACACGTGCATTCGATAGGTCAGTGATCAAAAGAACCAACTCAAGGGGACAGCTGAGATTCCTATCTCCCGGGGCCACAGAGGGAGACAAAATCCGAAATATTTATTTATTTATTTAGTGTGTGTTTGGCTTTTGTTTTTGAGACAGGAATCTCTGTGTAACAGTTCTGGCTGTCCTCGAATTTACAGAAATCCACCTGCCTCTGCTTCCTGAGTGCTGGGATTAAAGGTGTGCGCCACGATGCCCAGCTTGAATTATTTATCTTATTATTTAGTTTTATTCTGAGTGTGGTGTGCACAGGCACATGCACACTGGTATGTCTGTGTGGAGGTCGGAGGACAACTTTGTGGGCTCAGTTCTCTTTCTGCCTTTTCAGGGCTCAAACTTGGCTCCTCAGCCTATGCTGACCCTTTACCACTGAGCCCCAGCCTTAGTTTTGATTTTTTTTTTTTTTGAGACAGGGTTTCTCCGTAGCTTTGGAGCCTGTCCTGGAGCTCACTCTGTAGACCAGGCTGGCCTCGAACTCACAGAGATCCGCCTGCTTCTGCCTCCCGAGTGCTGGGATTAAAGGCATGTGCCACCACCGCCCGGCACAGCCTTAGTTTTGATTTTTTTTTTTTTTTATGAGCCGGGGTCCAGGCTGGTTTGACCTCATTGTGTGGGGGCAGGTGGTACCTGCTACACCTGCCAAAGGCAGCAGCTACTGCCACACCTGGCTCTGTTTTTCTTGCTGCTGGGGATTGAACCTAGAGCCTCAGGCATGCAAAGGAGTGTGCTCCACCACTGAGCCCCACAGCCAGACTGTTTCAAAACAACAGTGATAAGTAATAATTTTAAAACTGTCCCTTCAAGGGAAGCCTGGATCAAGGCACGTGACATACTCACTCCCAAGACACACACTGCCCCTTGCTCTTGAACTAGGGGCTTGGGGGAAGGGTTTTGGGATGAGAGGTGGTAGGGTACCCTCTTGCCTTGGCTCAACTCTTCTCCCACCCTCAGGTCCAATCTCCTGGGCAACCGCTTCACAGTCTTTGACAACGGGCAAAACCCGCAGCGCAGCGGTGGTGTGGACGTGGGGAGCCTGCGCCAGGAGCTGGCAGCTGTTATCTATGTGAGAAGCCACTATCCCCACTGTGCCCGGCTCTCCTCGAGTAGGATGCAGCCTGATGGCCTTTTCTCTCTTTCAGGAAACCAATGTTTTAGGGTTCCGGGGACCCCGTCGCATGACTGTCATCATCCCTGGGATGAACTCGGACAATGAGAGGGTCCCTATCCGGCCCCGAAATGTGAGCCTCTACCTCCCTAGTCTTGCAGGAACCTTGCAGGCTGGGTGAACCTAGGGTCTCAGAGACCGATGACTGGCATGTCCCATGCTCCTGGGTGACTGAAGTCACTTCAGTCATTTACAGTGAAAAGTAACAACCCTGTCAGCTGCCCATTCCCTCTCCCTGCTAGGAGGCCAAGCTGCCTTTGGGGGCCACGCTGGCCAGGAAGCTGGGCCTTGCAGGTTTTGTGGACTCCTACTTCTGAGGTCCGTCAGAAAGAACCAAGGTTCAAATGGGACACAGCAGTGATTAGAACACTAGCTGCTGGGCTGGGGTGGCTCACCTGACAGGCACGAGGCACTGGGTTCCATCCCCAGTGCCGCAAAAACCAGGCATCATGGTTCACGCCTCTAATCCCAGCACTCAGGAGGTAGAGCAAGAGGATTAGAAGTACAAGGTTATCCTCAGCTACACAGGGAGTTTGAGGCTAGCCTGGGCTATATGGGACCCTGACAACACATATACACACACATACACACATACATAACACACACACAAATAATAATAATAATTAATAATAATAATAGAGGGGGCTTGGAGATGTCTCTGTCAATAAAATGCCTGCTGTACATGCATGAAGGCCTGAGTGGAGATTCCCAGTATCCATGTAAAAGCTGAGCACACTGATGTGGACCTGTACCTCAGCACCGGGCAGGTGGAGATGGGTGGATCCCCAAATGCTTTGACCACCCAGCCTAGCTCAATCAATGAGCTCCAGGTGCAGTGGGAGACTAGGACATGAAGAGTGGCCCACGACTCCTCCTGGGTGCCAGTTGTGTCTTTCCACTCTCTGCTCTCAGCGCTGTTCCCCAGTGTCTGCTGAGACCCTCTGTGGACATTGCAGTCCAGGCTGAACAACAGCCGCACAGCCGTCCTGGCTGCTAGTCCACGGAGCTAGTCCACGGAGCTAGTCCACGGAGCTAGCCCACGGAGCTAGTCCACGGAGCTAGCCCACGGAGCTAGTCCACGGAGCTAGCCCACGGAGCTAGCCCACGGAGCTAGCCCAGCCAGCTCTAACCATCTTTTCTCTGTTACCTCCCCTTGGGCGCCCCAGGCCAGCGATGGACTGCTGGTGCGCTGGCAGAACAAGACGCTGGAGAGCCTCATCGAACTACATAACAAGCCGCCCATCTGGAACGAAGACAGTGGCTCCTACACCCTCAACTTCCAGGGCCGGGTCACCCAGGCCTCCGTCAAGAACTTTCAGATTGTGCATGCTGATGACCGTGAGTGTCTGAGGGCCCTCTCTCTTCCCCTCTTGACTCTGGTTTGGGAGGGGGCTCAGAGAGTTCGAGCAAAAGTCTTGGGGTTCACTAGGACAAGTTTGTGACCTAGCCTTGACCAGGATCCTCGGGTAGATGCTTGGACACTCCCAGTGGTATTTGTGATGAGGGGAGGGATGAAGGCTGGAATCTGGGGACCACCTGGAGTTTAACCCCTTGGTGTGTAGTCGGCGGTGGCACCCAAGACCACAGAGCAGAAACAAGAGCTAGAAATTATTGTTTTCATGATAATTGTCCTAAAACAAGGTCTCACTATATAGCCCTGAAACTATCTATAAGGACAAAGCTGGGCTTAAACTCACAGAGATCCCCTGCTTCTGCTTCCCCAATGCTGGGATTAAAGGTATGGTCACTATACCCTGCTAAAATAGAGGATTGTCTTTGGCGGGGGGTGTGGACTTTTTGTTTTTCACAACAGGGTTTCTCTCTGTAACATGTCCTGGAAACTCTTTGTAGAACAGGCTGGCCTCAAACTCATGGAGATCCACCTGCCTCTGCCTCCCGAGTTTTATTATCGAGGTTTGCCACCACGCCCAGCAAGGATTATGTTTTAAGAACAGGATAGCTAGGGCTTGGGGGAGGCATCCACCGCCTTCTGTGTCTGTGTGTGTAGTCAGAGGACATCCTGCAGGAGCCACTTCTCTCCCCTCATCAGTTGATCCCAGGAATCAAATGAATTTGACCTGAAGGTCACCAGACTTGGCAGCAAGCACCAAGAGTAGGAAATATGGACCATGAATTTCTATGTGTCTACGACTTTTTTTTTTTAAGATTTATAATTTTATGCTGGGTAGTGGTGCACACCTTTAATCCCAGCACTCAGAAGGCAGAAGCAGGCAGGTCTCTGTGAGTTTGAATCCAGCCTGTTCTACAGAATGAGTTCCAGGACAGCTAGGGCTATTCAGAGAAACCCTGTCTCGAAAAACCAAAAAAAAAAAAAATAGATTTTGTTTTTGTTTTTCGAGACAGGGTTTCTCTGTGGCTTTGGAGCCTGTCCTGGAACTAGCTCTTGTAGACCAGGCTGGTCTTGAACTCACAGAGATCTGCCTGCCTCTGCCTCCCAAGTGCTGGGATTAAAGGTGTGCGCCACCACCGCCCGGCTCCAAAATCTATTTTTTTATGTGTGTGTATGACTGCATGAATTATGTGTACCTTGTGTGTGCAGGTGCCCACAGAGGCCAGAGGGTATCAGATGTCCTGGAACTAGAGTTACAGGCGGTCTTCTGGGTGCGGGGTCCTCTGCAAAAGCAAACAGTGCTCTTCACTGCTGAGCCATCTCTCCAGCGTCTACTTTTTCTCAGACTGCCCCTGAGGACTTATTTAGGGAACCAAGATCTCCAGGGCATGGATGTCCCTGTCCTAGCTTGGGCAAGAGGTTCCACAAAGGGTTTGGCCAGTACCATGCAATCCGCCGCCCCCAGTCCTTTGCTGTCCCCAGTATCTCATGTCCCCAGGCCTTGGGACTGCTCACCAGGCCAGTTCCTGTGGGAGCCTGGTCCACAACCAGACCAGGATGGAGGGGTTTTTGTTTTAAAATAGCTTCCTATCCCTATTCAGGCTTGGAGAGAGGTGCTGAGATTGGGTTGGGAAGCCAGTTGGGTGGTCTTGCCTGTTACCCAGGTGACCAGCCTGGTCCTCTTAGACAGATTCAGGATAGCCAGGGCATTTCGGAGGGACCTAGCAGGAGGATTAGGAATTCAAGGCCAGCCTTGGCTACTCCAAGACAGAAGGGTGCGGTGGAGGGAAGGGTGTGGAAAGAGGCTGATTGATTGAGTGACTGGAATTGATAGCTCCAGAGCTGGAGAGGCCTGCCACTCCACTCCTGGTTAGAGAAGGACCTGAACTAGGGTCAAATGTGGGCCTTATGAACTGGGGCTGGGCAGAGGAATGAGGCCAAAACTGGACAACGCAGGGAAGGGTTCTGGTTTGGGCAAGTTTGTCAGGGTCCTGTACTGCTAGATTACAGATTTGCTGTAGCCCTGGGCAGAGGCTGATAAGGTGGGGCTCCTGCCCTGCGGACTTGGTGTGACAGACCCTGCACAGGCGGGGCTAGTTGGACGACTCAGTGAAGGGAAGGTGGCCCAAGGCTGCCTGGGGGCTGTGACTCCAAATCAAGGAAAAGGACCTCCCGGTGTTATGGGGTTGCCTGTCAAGAGAGGGCCTGAGGTCACCCCATTGTCGTTCACAGCCGACTATATAGTGCTCCAGTTCGGCCGCATAGCCGAGGATGCCTTCACTCTGGACTACCGGTACCCGCTGTGCGCCCTGCAGGCCTTCGCCATCGCCCTTTCCAGCTTCGACGGGAAGCTGGCCTGCGAGTGACCCCACAACCCCTCGGCGCTGGGAAAACACTCAGCTGGGGGTGATAGGGTCCCTCCCCCACAGCCCGCGCACCCCTAGCCTGGCACCGGCCAGGCGAAGGAGCTCTGACTGGGATGGAGATGAACATCTGGTCGCAGAAAAGCAATGCCTGCCTCGCCCCCTCCTCCCCAGCCACTTCCTGCTCGGGAGCCCGAGTCAGACGTTCGAGGCCCCTCCAGGACTTAACTGGGGGAAACGGAGAAGCAGGGTCCGAGACCCACATTCTCAATAAAGTTACATCCCAGACTGAACACAGCGGTAATTCCCGGATGCGTGCTTGTAGACCCAGGTGCCCACGCGTGCTCTGAGCTCCCTCCCTTGTATCCTTCTGTCCTATGGATCCTCAGCAGTACCTCAGGGTCCGGCCCCCGACTCTCCAAGCAGCAGGGAGGAGAGGGAGGGGCCCCAGAGGTCCAGGAAGAGGGAGAAAGGGAGAAATTCGAGAAACAAGCCACTCGGGGAGAACCAGACAAACCGGGTCCGGGCAGGGCGGAGCCGGGTCTGGGGCCCCGGAGTGGGGGGGCGGGCTCTCGGTGGGAGGAGCGCTGCTGAGGCCTCGACTGCGACGGACCCGAGTGGAAGGGTGGGGAACCCCGAGACTCCGGGCGCCGCTTGGCTGCACGAAACGCGGTTCCCCAGTACCCCCGACACCTTCAAGAGTCCGGCCCAGGGGACAGAACTCCACTTTTGGCTCCGCCCCAGGCCTGATCCCCAAGATTCAGCTGGGTACCCGAAAGGGGGTTGCGTAGGTGGGGACTCTGAGATGGCGAGCGAGAACTGGGGTGCGCGGGAGGGCGAATCCACAGTGACGGGCGTTCTTGGGGCTGGGTGGTCAGAGACCGCAGGCCCGGGCCCGCCTTAGACCACGCCTCCACATTGACACCGCCCATTCACGACCCCGCCCAGATCTAGCCCCGCCCACAGGTTCCGCCCCTCCAGCCCGCAGCCCCCACCCCCCGCCCGGCTCCTCAACACAAACTTTCCGTCCCGCTCGCTCCCTCCTCCGCGCCCAGCACCTCCCGCTCCGGCCCGGCTCATTCCGTGCATTCCGGCCATCCCCCTGCCCACGACCCCCCTTCCCGGCCCCCCTTGCTACTCCCTCGGGCCCGGAGGAGCGGCCCGGCGGAGCGCCCCCCGGAGCTCGGAGCAGGTAAGCCCACGGGACACAACTCGGAGGCCTCGCGCGCAGAGGTGACTGCTCGGGGTGGCTTCTGGATGGCGGGGACCCGAGACACCCTAGGGGCGCTGAGCTATTGTCCAGCCTGCTCCCGAGCCCAGGACCTGGGTGCCGGGAAGTTTGGAGGGAACGGGGGGGAGACGCTCTCCGGGAAGCCCCGCCCACTCACCCCACCCCCCCGCGACCCGAAGGCTGGGAAGCTCGGAGTGTCCCGGGTGCCCGGGCCTGGCCCCGCCGAGTGCCGGGGTGTGCGCCCGGAGCCGCGGGCTTGGAGGGCCTGCCGCCGGGACTCGTATCCGGGGCGCCCTTTGGACTCCGGGAACCCGCGGGCCCCGGCTCCACGCAGGCCTTGGCCAGGGCGCGTCGGTGTGAGCACTGCTCGCGGCTGCACTGGAACCCGGCCGGGCGTCGGGAAGCCACACTGCGAGCCCGGAGCGTGTGCGCACCGAAGGGGGACGCCTGTCTCCTCCAGTTCTGCGGCCCGCGTCGGGGCGAGGGCTTCAGAGTGTCAGCTCTAGCCCAGGAGTCTTGCTCCGGACGCGGCTTCATTTGGGGCCTTCTCCGCAGAACTTGTTAAGGCAATTAAGGGAGTCTGGGCTTCCCTTCCCACTCGGGTCCTCTCCATTGTCCGTCACGTCTTTATTCCTTCTTGGGAAGGGAGGCCGGAGGCTGGTGTGGATCTGTTTTCTAGCCCCAGCAGGCCCTGGGGCAGTGTCACTGAAGCCCCTACTCTACTCCCACCCCCAATAGGGGCCCTGATTGAGGGCTTAGATTCTTAAAGAGCAAGAGGGAACGCTGTCCGGGGCCGGGATTCTCAGGGCCTGTGTCCCGAGCTCTCCAGGTAGGGGCAGAACCAAGTCAGGTCTGGACTTGTAGCCCAGCGGAGAGGATGGGGGTGGGGGCTGGACACGGCTCTGAGGGGCTGGTGTCTATGGTGGCTCCGTGTATTCGCGCTCCCGTGGCCTGGTTCTGTGCACACACGGTTCCGCCTCCGTGCTGGGGTCTAGGACACCCCCCCCCCCCCCCGCGCCCCGGCTGAGGGTTGTTGTCGCCTGGGGCCAGGAGGGAAAGCAACTAGAAGGTGGAGGTTTAGGGAGACTATGGCTCTGTCCTTCCTAGCCCCCGGACCTCCATCGGAGACTCCCTTCTCCACGCTTTTTCTGAGTACTTGTTAAATCAATTGAGGGCGGCTGGTCTTCCCTTCCCACTCGGCTGTTCCCCATTGTCTGTCACGCTGCTTTTTATTCCTTCATGGGAAGGACGGGGGGGTTCTACTCACCGAGTGGGCAAAAGAGTAGCCAGGCCGTCCCCACCCCCAGGGAGGGAACTGTAATTAATGCTAATTAGCACTTTGGGGCTGGGGATGGTGGAACAGAATGGTCAGTGGTTGGCAGGAGATCTCTGAGTGTGTGCACACACACGTAGGTGAGTGTCTATCCAGAGGCCTGCACCCACGTCACTGTGAGTTTTTACATCCTAGCCGGCTCTGTTGTTGGAGAGAAGAGACAGCTCTACAGAGGTCAGGAGACAGGTCTCTGGTCCCTTGATGGGCCAGTTGTGTGGGTGATTCCCCAGGTGCCTAATCCCTGAGCCCCGCAGAGGCTTGTCCCCCTCGCTGCCTCAGTCTCCCTTCATCGTGGAAGCTGAACTTTGAGGGGTCTGGAGAGGTGGGTGGGTGGCCTCTGGTGGAGCAAAGAAGGCGGGAGGGTAAAGTCTTGGGGGGGCTTGTAGTTAAGGCAGGATGAGAGGTAGGTAACCTGAAGTAGTAGTGAAATGACAGGGAGACCGTGGAATTGGGGTGCTTGCTCTTGTAAGTGGGGTTCAGAGGCCACTGGGTGGCTGCCTCCAGCCTCAGTCCCAGAGCCTTTTAGGCTCCCTAGGGCTCCACGTAGGAGCTTGGGGAACGAAGCACCAGGCCTGTCTGTGCTCAGAGGATGCAGTTGCTGAGGGTTGGAGGGTGGACTCCTGCTTGAGGGACCAGGGGCCAGGAGGCCCTGACTGCCAGGCTGGTCCGAGGCTCTTGTCCCCCGTGGGTCACCGGAGCTGTAGCAGCCCTAGGACCCCTCCTAAGCCTCTCTGGTTAGAGCTGGGGATCAGAAGGTTGCTGCGGTCCCTGTGGGTACTGTTGCCCTGTGCGGGCCCTGTCTCCAGACCCAGAATCCAGACCCAACTCCCCAAAGCCTCAGCCCTTGGGGTTTCCTCGAGTGCTGATTGTTTCCTGGATTCCCTGCCAGGCCTGAAAGGGCAGGAAGCGATAGAGGAAATGAGAAGGAGAAGGCAGCCGTGTGTGACTGCGTTGTAGCATCCGAGAGGAGCGTGAGGGGTCGTCTGTGCGGGACGCGCTGTCCAGCAGGTACCTGTGGGAAAGAAGCCAGATACAGATTTTGTGAGCACACGTGGGGAAAGCTGTCCGTGGCAATGCGTGTGAGAACCACTGCGGTGTTCTCCATCCTTGTGGTCATGAGAGAAACGGAGAACCTGGGCTGGCGAGATGGCTCCGAAGCTAAAAAAAAAAAAAAAAAAGTGGTTGAGCCAAGCTTGCCGACCTGTGTTCATTGTCCAGACCCCACATGGTGGGAAGAGAGCCCATGACTCTCTGGGGTGTAAGTCAGCTGGGGAGTGAAGATTTCCCTGTGTGTGCCTGTGTGTATCCGAGAACCTGCCGAGGTGACTTTCTGTTGTTGGGCATCACGCTGGGATAATCGTGATGAAAATTGTGTGTCTGTGGGTACCACTGGCAGTGTGAGGGACAGTGATACTGTGGTTCTATGCGAGGGGCATCCCTGTGACCTGTCATGCCACGGTGCTGCCTGTTGTGAAATGAGTGAGGTGGCCTTGGGTTTGTCTGTGTGACTGTTTATGACACTGTACCTGAGCACAATGACAGGATCCACTGATGTGTACGAGGGTGCCAGTGGCAGCCCGGAAGAGACAGCCAGAGTGTGAGAAACTGGGGTGTGACTGAGATTGACGCCGTGGGTGGTCACTGTCTCAGCTTGTGTGGGTGACATCCTCGGGGCTACGCCACACAGGGTGTGGGGGCCCGTGACCCCAATGCATGTGGCATCTATCTGGAAGACCTTGCAAAAGATACCATCAAGTTGGGTGTGGTGGTGTGCACCTTCTGAAGCAGAGGCAGGGGGATCTCTGTGAGTTCCTGAGTTCAGCCTGGTCTACAGAGCGAGTTCCAGGACAGACGGCTACATGCCCCGTGGGATTCCGGCACTAGGGAGACCAAGTGAGGTGCAGCTTTAAGGCTAACCAGGCTAACCAGGGCTGTACAATGAAACTCAGTCTCCGACAGAAGTCTAACATGGTAGATAGGTATGTATTTTTTTTCCAATCACACTGCAGTCCCCAACACTTGAGAGACTGAGGTATGAGGATGGTAGGTTCAAGTGCAGCCACAGCTACAAAGTGAGACCTTATCTCAAAACCCAATAAGAACAAAAAAAAGAGGAGTTAAAATGATAAATTTATGTTATAATATACATAACCTTAATTTGAATTTTTCCTCACACTTGTAAACCCCGACACTTGGGAGTTCCACAAGTTTGAGGGTGATCTAGGTTACACGAGTGAAGACCCGCTTTCAAAAGTGGGTGGTAGGGTCAACGAGATGGCTCAGTGGGAAGAGGTGCTTGTGGCTCAGCCTGATGACCTGAGCCTGATCTTGAGAACCTATGGGATGGAAGGAGCGTAGGATTAACCTCCACACTGTGCTAGCGCTCTCTCTCTCTCTCTCTCTCTCTCTCTCTCACACACACACACACACACACACACACACACACGAATAAATAACACGATGATTGTATGTGAACATGAATATATATATATATATATATATATATATATATATATATATATTTAAAACACAGGAGGCTACACGGTAAGGTGGCTGCTGCCTCCTGTGTCGGAGGAGGGACGAGGTGGCAGCCTGTGTACTCATAGAAGACACACTGAGACTTCCATGACATCGCTGATTGCTGGCAGCCCAGTGGATAACTTGGCAAGGTGGTGGATAGCCACATGTTAACTGAGTTCTGTGGGACCCCAGCTCCTCAGGTTGTCACTTAGTCTCCCCCTCCCCATCTCTGGGGTTCTGTATACACAAAGAGACCCTGGAGAGTGGCAGAGTTTGGGAGGCCTTCTGGGACTGGTCAGCTCCATCTGCGGGAGGCTTGGGGGCTCTGAGGAGGGGGCTGTTCCTGGCCCGGGCTCCTAGGGGTGGTGGTGAGGGGCGGGAACCAGGGTTCTCAAATTGGAAGCACATTAGTTGAGCGGGAGGGGGGAGGCGCCGCCTCCTCCAGTCGGCCTGTAAATCACTCCCTCCTGTGGAGAAGGGGCGCGGGTCCTCTCTCCCCAGCATGGCAGGGTGTGGCTACTTGGCGGGTACCTCCTGGGTCCTTAGACTGGAGGTGGGAGGGGGGAGGCATAGAGCATCCCTACCCCCTCCCCTGGTCCATTCTGGTCCCAGCCAGAGCTTGGCCACTTGTAGGGTGGGAACCTCTGGCAGCTGGGGAACAGCTGGCTGCCGTGGGGGTGGGGTAGAGGGAAGACAGGCTAGGGGGTGGGGAGGCCCAGCGGGCCCTTCCCAGCCTTGCCTCCTTGTCTACCCGGTCTGGGGTGGAGCGCAGGGGACCCACTGATTTGCCCGCGTTGGGTTCTGCCTAGCTCCTGGAAGTGAGAGCACTTGGGGGCAGGGGTCCCTGCAGGGCCCAGCTCAGCTCCTGCGCCCCTGGGAAACAGCGAAGTGCCACCTAACCACGTGTCTTGTCTCTGCTGTGCCCTTACCAGTGCACCAGCTCTCAGGGAGTCCTCGCCCCCAGGCTTGGCCTTCCCCCTTCGGAGGGAGCGACAGGACCTTTGCGGCTGCCCAACTCTGGCCTCCATTCGGAGCTGTCTGGCCAGTTCTGCCCGTAGATCTGGCCCCAGGGCTGGGAGTGGGCAGCCGGGCCCCTTATCTCCTTAGGCCTCCTGGCCCCCTTCCTCGTCACTGGCCCAAGGCACCTTCTGACCCCCAGGCTGAGGGTCTGGGAGAGGGGAGGAGGCAGGTGTGGCTGCTCTGCAGGCTAAGGGTGAGGTCTTAGGGAAGGCTGAAGCCCTCCAGAAAACTCTTGAGGGAGAGGGTCTGTGGGAGGAGCCGAGCCAGGCCCCGCCCCCCCCCCCTCTCTCTCTCTCTCTCTCTCTCTCTCTCTCTCTCTCTCTCTCTCTCTCTGGGTTCTGTCCTTCCTCTACTCTAGGCCCCTGACTTCCTCCTGCAGTGTCCCGATGGGTCCTACCTGCTTGCCTCTTCACCTGGGTGCTGTGGATCCATCCCTGGGTCTTCTCCCTCCTCCCACCCCAGATGAGAGGCCGGCTGCCTGGCGCTGGCTGGTCTCTGAGCTCTCTACTCTGGCCTGAGCCTGCTGGGTGACTCTTCTGGGACCCTCTTGTCCTTTCCATTCATCTGGGGCCATCTCGCCCTCCGTTTCCTGCTCCCCTGTTCCTCTCAGAACACAGCGTTTGATGGAGGTTGTCTTTGGGGCTGCTCTGCTCCCACTCACCTGCCCCTTGACACTTAGCCTCCCATCTCCCATGAGTCCCTGGGTTTGGAGGTGAGCATTCACGCTCCAGGGATTGTCTTCATCCACTCTAGTGACAGTCACCCCAGTAGCCTCCCATGCCTCCTGAGGATGCCTTCCCTGAATGATGTCAGCAGAGCCACGCTGGGCAAAGCCCTGCACAAATGTGCTTCTGTGGGAGACTCGTGTGGGTACCCTGCTGTCCTGGGGTGTGTGCCTAGAACCATGTCAGTCTTGCAGGTGCCCAGGAGCCATGTAGGGTTGTGCGTTAGGGTCCCTACTTCTTGACACCCCTCACCCCCTAATGCCCTTCCCCCTCCCTAGCTGCCAGAGATCCCAGCCAGGGGCTGCCCCGCCCCCAGTCAGTCCCAGCTCCCCGGCTGCTCTGTTCTCCATATTTGGCCACATGCGCCCGCGGGGGCGGGGCAGGACTGACATCACCCAGGAGGGGGGCACGGCCTGGATGAGGGGGAGACAGCCAGAGACTTGGGGGAGGCCAGCAAGTTTCTTCAGACGTTGGGCTACCAGGGCCCCTGTGAAGTGGGCCTGGCTGTTCCATCGGAGGCTGAGGGCCCAGGGGTCCTATCTCAGGGTGGGTCCTCTGACCCTTCAGCTGGTCTGACAGCTCCTTGGCTGGCAGCGTCAGACAGATACCTGGGGAGGCAAGACCACCAGCTGCTCCTCCAGTGTCCCCTCCCCCAGCTGACACACAGCCCCTTTCCCCATTCCTACTGTAGATGGATGGAGGATTGCAGACCTACACAGTTCTGTGGTGAGGAACAGGCCCGGGGTAGGGTGTCTGCCCCTGGCTGCCCACTACACAGAGACAGACTTCTGGGTGTCCCAGAAGCCACTTCAGCTGAGGGGTCTCAGTGGCCTGGACCTTATTTTCCTATCCACATCGTGGGCTTCACTGCCTTTTTTCTGTCCACATGGTTAGGGTGTGGGCAGCAGGGTCTCTCTTCTCCCCATATTCCCTGTCTCCCTAGCCTCCATCCCTCCATCCAGTAACTCTGTTCAAAACCCAGCTGTGTGTCTTTGGGGAAGTGGTTTGACTTCTCTGTTCCTTGGTTTTTCTCATGTAATAAGTAGGATTACAAAGAGTACCCTAGGGGCTGGAGAGATGGTTTAGCAGTAGAGAGCACTGGCTGCTCTTCCAGAGGACCCAGGTTCAATTCCCAGCACCCACATGGCAGCTCACAACTGTAACTCCAGCTCCAGCAAGATCCAACATTCTCACTCATGCTTGCAGGCAAAGCACCAGTGTGCATAAAATAGAATAAATTATTTTCAAAACAGTACCCCAAACGGTTACTATGAAGATTGGGTGAGTCACCTGTCAAATCCCCAAACTACACCTGGCACACAGCAGGTGCCACTGTTAGAAATATTAAGTCTAGGCCAGGTGGTGGCACACACCTTTAATCCCAGCACTCGGGAGGCAGAGGCAGGTGGATCTCTGAATTCGGGGCCAGCTTGGTCTACAGAGTTGAGTTCCAGAACAGGCGCCAAGGCTACAGAGAAACCCTGTCTCGAAAAACCGAAAGAAAAAAATTGAGTCTAAACGTGATGCTTAGAACTGTGTGCAGTTGCATATATATGCCTGGTACCCTACCACCTGAGAGGCTGAGGCAGGTGGATGGCCAGCATGGCCAGCATGGGCTGCATAGTAAGATGCCCCTAACATAGACACGCAGAATGAACTCCAAGCTCAGCATTGTTCAGACCCTGCCATAGAGAGATCTGGTCTCCCGGTGTAGCTCTGGCTGTCCTTGGGACCTTAGAGAGAACCGCCTGCCTCTGCCTCCCGAGTGCCGGCAGCAAAGGTGTGGGCCACCACACAGGCAGGCACTCTGTGTTCTTGCCTTCCCAGAGCAAAGCGCCCCAGGGCTGGAGGCCCTCAGAACTCTGACTTCAGGTTCCAATGTTCTGGGGTTGCAGGAGGCATGAGGTGCGTCTGGGGCTGTGTTCTTGGGGACAGAGAGGGTGTGTGGAACACAGGTGCCGTCTGTCATGTGGGCCGGGACAGGCTTGCCTGTGGGTGGTGAGGAGGTATGGCAACAGGAAGTGGATTGAGGAGGCCCGGACAGGCAGAGCCAAGCTGCTGGCTGAACCTCCTCCTCGTTGGCCTCTGCCACTCGGGCCTGGCCACTCCCTGGGCAGCGCCTGCCCCATGCTAAGGTCCTGTGGGGGATTCTCCTGAGTTACCTGTGGAGAAGCTGAGGGCAATCTCCTCCCACAGACAGCAGACCTGCATGGGTGCTGGTGGGAGTGGGTCATGAAGGCCTGGCTGGAGCTCTCACCTCTGCCCTGACAGTGCTGCAGACACCAGTCCTAGCCTGATGCTCTCTGCCCGCCTGTGTAGAGACTGCCCAGATATGCAGGTGCCCTGTGGGGGCGGCCCTCACAGTCCAGCTGGACTCGGTTGCTGTACGCAGCTGAGACTGACCTTCAACTCCTGCTCTAGCCTCTAGCCGTCCAAGCTCTGAAGTCACTGGCTGCTGCTGCTGCCTAGTTCTTTGTTTGAAGGCAGGGTCTCCCCATGTAGTCCAGATTAACCTTTAATATTTGCAGTCTGAGTCAGGCACTGGTGCACGCCTTTAATTCCAGCACTCGGGAAGCAGAGGCAGGTGGATCCCTGTGAGTTTGAGGCCAGCCTGGTCTAGTTCCAGGACAGACTCCAAAGCTACAAAGAAACCCGGTCTTGAAAAGCAAAAAAAAAAAAAAAAAAAAAAAATTGCAGTCTGCCTTTTTTTAGCCTTCTGAATGTTGGGTTTACAGGCAAACAGCATACCTGGCTCAAACTAGCAATCCTCCTGCCTCAGCCTCCCAAGTGTGTAATCACGGGGGTGCTGCACCTTTTGATGTATGTACTGTTGTAGGTGGTGGCAGGAGGAGATCTCGCTCCTTTATTAAAAATTATTTTTTCCTGCCAGGCAGTGGTGGTGCACGCCTTTAATCCCAGCACTTGGGAGGCAGAGGCAGGCGGATCTCTGTGAGTTCAAGACCAGCCTGGTCTACAAGAGCTAGTTCCAGGACAGGCTCCAAAAACCACAGAGAAACCCTGTCTCGAAAAAGAAAAAAAAAATTACTTTTTCCCTGTGTGAGAGACAGACAGACGGAGGGCTGGTGCATGTGGAGCTGAGAGTTCAGCCTCCAGGATTTGGTCTACCCTGCTACCGTGCGGGTCCCAGGAAGGGAGCTCAGGACATGAGGATTGACAGATTCTCTTGCCACCGTCTTGTCGGGCCATCTCTGTCTTTGTGGGGGGGGGGGGGGGCAATGTATTACATAGCCCAGGCTGGGGCTGTGCTGTGTAGTGGAGGCAGCTGAATTCCCAATCCTCTTGCCTCAGCCTCCCAAGTAATGGGATTACAGGGGTGAATGGCCATACCAGCTACTATTGCTTTCTCAGTGTTTCAGCCTGGCATTTTTAGTGTGTGTATGTATGAGAGAGAGCGCCTGCTAGGCAGTTGTTAGATGTCGGACATGGGTGCTGGGACATAGGGTCCTCCACTCTTAACATCTGAGCCATCTCTCCGAGGGACCATTTTGACTTTTTATAGGACCCAGGTTCAGAGAGGTAAAGTAACTCATCCAAGGCCATACACAGCTCTGAACAGGCTTAACCTCTAACGGCCTTCATCCAGCCTGGTGTGGGGGGAGCATTGAACAGCCACTGGGGTGACAAAACCCTGTCCTAACCCCCTTCATCTGCTCGTCTAGGCTCAGGCCTTCCAGGGGGCTCAGGCCCAGAGCCCAGAGCAACCAGCACAATAGCGTCCAACAGCTGGACCGCCAACAGCAGCCCCGGGGAGGCCCGGGAGGATGGGTCCGAAGGCCTGGACAAGGGGCTGGACAACGATGCCGAGGGAGTGTGGAGCCCGGACATCGAGCAGAGCTTCCAGGAGGCCCTGGCCATCTACCCGCCCTGCGGTCGGCGCAAGATCATCCTGTCAGATGAGGGCAAGATGTACGGTGAGTGCTGAGTGCGTGGGGCAGGCAGAGGTAGGCGTGGCCCCGTCCCCTGGCCCCGCCCCCTGCTCTCTGTCCCCTGCCAGACCGGTTGGTTGGGGGAGTCCTGGCCGCCTGCCTGGCGGGCGAGTCCGGGCGGGCTTGAGCTGCGTGTGTCTGGGGCCTCCTCCAGCTGTACCTCGCAAACAGGCCGGCCGCAGCCCACACGCGCCCCGCCTCTCCCCAGCCCTGCCGGCTGGAGGTTTCGGGGTGACTCAGGGGGGCCAGGAAAACTGGGTCAGTCCAGCAAGCCTCTGAGAGGCTGTAGCCTAGTGAGGTAGCACCAGCCTCCCCCCGAATCTCAGCACCCAGGACTGAGGGGATACCATAGGAAGAAACAAAGATGGGAGCCCCACCCTCTGTATAGGCCGGTCCTTAATGCCTGAACCCCCTCTCGGGATAGGAAGATACTCTGGGGTGCTTCCATCGGGTGGCGTGGCCTGCCCACAGCGCACCCTCACCAATGGCAGCGCAGCCCCATGGGGTATTTTTAGACAAGGGGTTGGCGGGCAGGGAGGGGCAGTGGGGCCTGTTCTGTCATCACAGAGGAATTTGGGGAATGTGGCAGTTCTGGGGAGGACAGGAGGTTGGGGGGCTAAGTGCACACTCTGGATACTGACATATACCCTATGGCATGTATAGACAGCCCCCACCTTGGCATAGCCTGCTCCCCGAGAGGGTCTCCGAGGGTGCTGAGCAGAGCCCCTAACCCAAGACTGAGGCGAGCAGATACCGCCATATGGGTCATTGGCGTGAGGACCCAGGGACACACCTTGACCTAAGCTACTAGCATCAGAGACACGCTAGAGGCCTCTAGCTCCTGTCTTCCTTCACCAGAGAAGGGACAGGACTTGTTCAGGGTCTCCTGTGATTGGGATGAAGCCAGACTGAACTGCTCAAGACAGGGGCCAAGGGCTGAGACCCACCCTCAACCCCAGCCTCTGAGCCTTGCTGGGAGCCACGGCCACACTACCTGTCAAGGTCCTCCTTTTTTCTGAGGGCCTTGCTCTCCTGCAAGTCCCGGGGGCAGCATGCCGGGGAGCCCTGAGGAAAGCGTGGTGAGGGTGGGGTGCCCAGGCTTGGGTTGGACCCTCCTTCTACCCGGTCCTCATTGGCTGTCTCTCCGACTAGGTCGAAATGAGCTGATTGCCCGCTACATCAAACTGAGGACTGGAAAGACCAGAACGAGAAAACAGGTAGAGAGATGGTCCTGGCCCCCTGCCCCTCCCACCCATGGGTGTCTTGGGTTTAGGGACCACAGATTAGCCACGGAAGATGGGCATGTGCCCAGTGGGGTGGAACGCAAAGGCTTGTGTAGTCTTGCTGGAGTAGGCACCCCAGAACTGCCTTTGGATTATGTGGGAGTTGGCCAGGGAGGGGACCCTGTCAGCAGATAGCAACCCCTACACCCCACTTGTGTTAGCACAGACCACAAAGTGTGATGTAGTTCACACTATCCAGCCCCACTGTGACCATACAGCCGCTCAGAGCCCGCTCTGCGTGTCCTCCCCATATCTTCAGGGTCCTGTTGCTGTGATGAAGACCATAACCAAAAGCAACTTGGGAAGGAAAGGGTTGTTTGATCTTACACTTCCAAACAATGTCTGTCACTGAGAGAAGTCAGGGCAGGAGCCTAGATGTAGAACTGAGGCAGAGGCCATGGAGGAGTGCTGCTCGCTGCTCCCTTAGACTACCCAGGACCACCTTCCCAGGGATATCACTGTCCAGAGCGGGCTGGGCCCTCCCACATCAACCACGAAAATACACCACAGGCCTACCCACAGGCCAGTCTTGTGGGGGCATTTTTTAGTGAGGTTCCCTCTTCCCAAATGACTAGCTTGTATCAAGTTGACATAAAACTAAAACTGGAGGAGTTTAGTGGCCCCTGTTGGGTCACTGATCTGATCTAGGAGGAGATAGAATCAAGATTGGCCCCTGACTTAACAATGAGCCAGGAACAGGTGGTACAGAAGAGGGAGAGAGGGAGCCCTCCCTGGTGGGGCATCCAAGAGTGGGGGCAGTTGTGAGGGGTGGGGTCCTGCCCCTACCAGGGCAGATCTGGGAGGCTAGCCAGGAGGTGGAAACCGACTGCATCCACAGTGGTAGGAGTGGGGGAGCAGCGACAGCTGTGTGTGGCCAGGCTGAGGGGAGCGAGTTGGATGACCTGGGGTACCTAGGAGAGGGGTCAACCAGACAAGCCCCTCCTGCCCTAACCCCATGCTGGGAAGGTGGAGGGAGCCCTAGGTTCCCCGCTTATCGTGACATTTAGTAATTCCTGCCCTGGTCCCTGAATCATTCCCGGGTTCTCAGGACAGCTGGGGTCACTCTGGTCCCTGAGCTCACACTAACACTTGGAGGGCCACAAGAGCACTTTCCCCTCCATGGAGTGGCACACGCCTGTAATCTCAGCACTTTTAAGACTGAGGTGGAGGAGTTTCGTGTGTTTGAGGTTCCAGCCTAAGGCTCCGTCTCAGTCCCCTCCCCCAGACAACACAGACTCTGAGGTCAAGCCCCCAGTTTCCATAGTCTGCCCTACCTGGGGCTAAGTGTGCTTCCCAGCCTGTTGCCTTGGCAACTGTCAATTGATTGACATGGACACCTAGAGCAGCTAAGCGCATCCACTGTTGTTACTGTCACTGTGGTAAGTCATGCCCATATCCTCTGAAACCTCCTGGTCAGCCCTGGGAAGGGGCTGAGGGTCTTTAAGTCCAGACTGCGTCAAACCCAACCCGGTCACATGTTCTGCCTCGTTCTGACCCAACATGGCACCTACTCCTGGCTAGGCTGTCCACACAGGAAACCTAGCCATCTGGGGTGCCCATATCTCCAGTGGCACTCACTCTCATTGAACTCTGTAGCCCATGCTGGTCTGGGACTCAGCTCCTCCTACCTCTGCCTCCCAAGTGCTGGGATCCGAGGTGTGGACCACCATGCCTGGCACAATGCCTCCCTATTAACCAGACAACTTAACACCAAGCTGGGAGTAAGCTCCCTGTGACTTCCAGCTGTCAGAGCTGGCCCTACCTAGGGAAGTGGTCCCCACTTCAGGGTCTGAAGGAATCCTGGGAGAATACCTTGTGGTTGAAGCCAGTGGTCTCCACAGTGCCTGGGCTTGGATGCTAGCTCTGTATCCAGCTGTGTGAGCCTCTCTGGCTGTGATTGGGTCATTGTAAGTCAGAGTTGCTGCCAATACCAAATGGGCTGGGCGTCCAAAGCTTGGTGGCCATCAGTATTGCCAGGACGGGAGCCAGCATCTGCTGGGACTCCAGGGCAGGGACCTGCCGGAGGACTGTGGCTAAGGGGTGTTACTAGGGTTCTCTCTTTCCGAGACAGGGTTTCTTTGTAGCTTTGGAGCCTGTCCTGGAACTCACTCTGTAGACCAGGCTGGCCTTGAACTCACAGAGATCCGCCAGCCTCTACCTCTCCAGTGCTGGAATTGATTAAAGGCGTGCACCACCACCGTTCAGCTAATTACTAGGGTTCTCAAGTCCATAACAACAGCTTCTTTATGGGAATAAAAACTTCTGAAGAAAGTCCACCACAGCTGCTGCTATTGGCCATGGAACAGCGTTGATGACATGTGGGTCTCTAGTCCATTGTCTGTTCCTGGACTGTGCCAAGGGCTGTCATACAGGCTGGGCCCTATTGGCCTAGGATTAGCTCAACTTTACTATTAAGGGCCAGGAAGCGGGTTGCCGGGAAAGAAGTCCTTCCAGTAAGAACACCTACTGTGTGCTTCAGTCTGTCCATGGAAAGGCTGCGTGGCTCCTCTGAAGAAGCTGAGGGAGAAAGGCAGGGGAGGTCCAGACTGAGAATCCGGGTAGGCAGGACGGTGGAGAGATTGCTAGCAGCTGTGGCAAGCCTTTAATCCCAGCAGCTGGGAGGCAGAGGCCAGTCCAATCTACAGGACAGACAAGGCTACAAAGTGAGACCCTGTCTCAAAAGGGGGGGGGCAGTGCTGGAGAGATGGCTCAGAGATTAAGACCACTGGCTGCTCTTCCAGAGGTCCTGAGTTCAATTCCCAGCAACCACATGGTGACTCACAACCATCTATAGTGAGATCTGGTGCCCTCTTCTGGCTGGCAAGGATACATGCAGGCAGAACACTGTCTACATAATGAATAAATGAATCTTTAAAAAATAAAAGGCAGCTGTGGCTTCGGTACACATCTAATGCTGGGAGCCACAGAGCCAAAGCTCGCCTCAGGACCCCCACTTCCTGAGTTAGGTGCAGCCCTCGTCTGCCTGAGCATAGAGCAGATCTTAGACTGGGGTTCTGCTCTGTGAACAGAGGGTGCATAGTGACAGTATCGATAGTCATGTACCCACTGAGATGCCCAAGTTCTCCCATTGGATCCTGGGCCCCCAGAGATGAGGGCTGGGTGCTCCCCCCTCCCTGGCCATTCTGGCTGTGCCTCCTCACCACCTGTTTCCCTTTGTGGTGGGGCACACCTCCCCAGGTGTCCAGCCACATACAGGTTCTAGCTCGGAAGAAGGTTCGGGAATACCAGGTTGGCATCAAGGTACGTTGGGTGCCTGGCAGGGCCTCCAGCCCTTGCCGGGCCTCTCTCGCCCATTCTGCACGCTGTGCACCTCAGGCCTCTGCCTCGTCGGCTCTCCAGTCCACTCTCGGTCTCTCCGGCCTGAGCTCTTCTTGCCCCCTTCTCTCTCTGTCCTCTGCTCTCTCTCTCGTTCCCTACAGGGTCTCTAGACACTTGCAGGTTCTAGCCAGGAGGAGATCTCAGGAGACGGCTCAGGCTGAAGGTATGGGCCCCTGCCACTTGGCCAGAACAGGGCTGAGGAACTGAGAGGGCCTGAGACACACAAGTGACAGTCGTTAGGTTAGGAAGCTTGGAGGAGTCCTGGGTGGTGACACTTTAACCCAACAGGCAGGCAGATCTGAGTTCTGGGACAGCCAGGGCTACACAGTGAGGCGCTTGTCTCAAAAAAGAAACAAAACCAGGCTGTCAGGGTTCCCAGGCCACAGCCCCTGGTGACTGGACAGCAGGTGGCCAGCGTCCCAGAGCCACTCCAGCCTGCCTCTCCTCTGTCCCTGTCCTCTCTTCTCCTGACTGTTGCTTGCTAATGGCCTGGGAACTGAGGGAGGACATGAAAGGTGTTGGCGGGCAGCTCAGTCGAGGTGGGATGAGGGATCTGCCCTTCTCCCTGCTGCTAAGCCTCCCAAGCGCAGGTTCTGGGAGGGACAGACTCATGGTCCTTTTTTTCCTTCATCCTCCCTCACCAGTGCACCCCCTTCTCAGGGTGGGAAGAGTACCCAGCTGCCTCTTGGCTTCCTTGGGAACTGGCAGCCAGGACACAGGGTGGGGGTGGGTTACAAGAAACCACGTCCCTTCCTCCATAGAGCCCTGGTTTGTCTAATCCTCTGTCCCTTTCTCCTTCACAGGCCATGAACCTGGTAAGTGGCCCAGTGCCCGTGGGGAGGGCCTTGAGAGCACCTGGGTGACAACAGGGTAGCACAGGGGTGGCCTGCTCACTGGACATGCTTCAGTGTAGTGCCCAGCATAGGAACCAAATCAAAGCTGCGAATTATGAAGCTAATTCAGTTTCACAGACACGTCAGATAATCTAAGTCCAGGGGGAGCGTGCAGTTTCTGTGCAGACACGTCAGATAATCTGAGTCCAGGGGGAGCGTGCAGTTTCTGTGCAGACACGTCAGATAATCTGAGTCCAGGGGGAGCGTGCAGTTTCTGTGCAGACACGTCAGATAATCTGAGTCCAGGGGGAGCGTGCAGTTTCTGTGCAGACACGTCAGATAATCTGAGTCCAGGGGGAGCGTGCAGTGTCTGTGCAGACACTTTTTTTTTTTTGAGAGAGGGTTTCTCTGTGGTTTTTTGGAGCCTGTCCTGGAACTAGCTCTTGTAGACCAGGCTGGTCTCGAACTCACAGAGATCCGCCTGCCTCTGCCTCCCAAATGCTGGGATTAAAGGCGTGCACCACCACCGCCAGGCTGTGCAGACGCTCTGTGTAACATTCAGGCACCCTGCATTTCAGTGTGTGAGGGAATGCCCAGAGTCAAGTCCCTCAGGGACTGTAAGGGACCACCGTACTGGGCATAGAATAAAGTAGTATTTCATACTGTGGGCTGTTCCCGGAAAGGATACAGACGCCAGGATACTGGGGATCAGAGAGGGTAGACTACTGAATCCACAGTGGAGCTGGACCTCATGTGACCACTGTCCCCCCAGGACCAGGTCTCCAAGGACAAAGCACTCCAAAGCATGGCCTCCATGTCATCTGCACAAATCGTCTCTGCCAGCGTCCTGCAGAACAAGTTCAGCCCGCCTTCCCCTTTGCCCCAGGCTGTCTTCTCCACCTCCTCAAGGGTATGGGGAGGGGGAGCTGGAGGCTGAGGGCTGGGCTGGGGTGTGGCTAGGGTTCCGGAGTACTGAGACCCTGGCTTTGTCCACAGTTCTGGAGTAGTCCCCCTTTGCTAGGACAACAGCCTGGACCGTCTCAGGAGTGAGTACCGCCTGTGGCTTCCACGCATATGCTTCCCTCCTTCCTGAGCCCTGTATTTGTTTCCAACTTGGGGAACCATAGTTAATCTCTGGTTACCACCAGTTAGGGAACAAAACTCGGGGTTCTCAGTTTGGAGAACATACTGACAGCCACAGTAAATAGCTTTTTAGGATGGGAGGGGAGTGTACCCACCAGCTGTGGGACGCAGCTGGGTGCCATCCGAATTAGAATGGGGCAGGCTAGCCTATGAGCAAGTGCTTTGAGGCATCAGCTTGAGGGGATGCGGGGGAGGGGCTGGGCAGGTGAGGGGCTGAGGACCTCTGACCTGCCATATTCCTGACTGACCGCAGCATCAAGCCCTTTGCCCAGCCTGCCTACCCCGTCCAGCCTCCCCTGCCACCGACGCTCAACAGTAAGTGTCCCACCAGGCCACCTAGCACCTGGTACCTCTTGTGTCTGCCCTTCTGTTTGGGACCTGTGTGTACTTGGGTGGGTGGCAGCCATAGGGGGGTTGGTTTAAGTTTTTATTCCCTGGAAAGAAAGAAAGACACCAAAATCTTAACAGAATTCCACTCTTGGTAATGGCATCTTAGCTTTCTGTGTAAACACACATTAAAAACATCCAGTCACTAGTACTAGGCCCACCCCTTGGTGTGTAGGCTACGCACTGCACCCCCCGCCCCTCGGAGTGTAAAGCCCAATCCTGCTGTCCACTGTGCCTGGGCAGATGAGCTACATCTTACTCTTAGGTTACGAGTCCCTGGCCCCGCTGCCCCCAGCCGCTGCCTCCTCTGCGCCTGCGTGGCAGGACCGTACCATCGCCTCCTCTCGGCTACGCCTCCTGGAATATTCTGCCTTCATGGAGGTGCAACGGGACCCCGACACGGTAATGTGGGGATGGTGGGGAGACTGGCCTGTAACGGAGCATCCAGATCAGGGTCCTGGCGGTAGGGTCCTTGAGCCTGCAGGCTGACCCTGGTTCGGCCCTCCCCACAGTACAGCAAACACCTGTTTGTGCACATCGGCCAGACAAACCCTGCCTTCTCAGACCCACCCCTGGAGGCGGTGGATGTACGCCAGATCTATGACAAGTTCCCTGAGAAGAAGGGGGGGCTGAAGGAACTCTACGAGAAGGGGCCCCCAAATGCCTTCTTCCTTGTCAAGTTCTGGGTGAGGCTTCTCCCAACCCAAGATGGGCAGCTTGCCCAGCTCCCTGCTTCTGCTCTCCTGCATGACCAGCGGGCCCCTGGGCGGGACCTGCAGGCCTCTGGGTAGGTGGGACTGGAGGCATGGAGGTGGGGAAGCTGGAGGCTAGCCTCTGGCCTCTGCAGCACTTGGTACCCTCTCCCCAGGCTGACCTCAACAGCACAGTTCAGGAGGGCCCTGGGGCCTTCTACGGGGTCAGCTCGCAGTACAGCTCAGCCGACAGCATGACCATCAGCGTGTCCACCAAGGTGTGCTCCTTCGGCAAACAAGTGGTAGAGAAAGTGGAGGTGAGCAGAGGCCTGGGTGGGGGACAGGCAGACAGGTCGGGGACGTCAGGTGACGCGACCGCCCCACTCCGCAGACTGAGTATGCCCGCCTGGAGAACGGCCGCTTCGTGTACCGCATCCACCGCTCGCCCATGTGTGAGTACATGATCAACTTCATCCACAAGCTGAAGCACCTGCCCGAGAAGTACATGATGAACAGCGTGCTGGAGAACTTCACCATCCTGCAGGTGTGCGCCGCCCCCCCCCCCCCCCACTGCGCCGGCCCGTGCTTGGCCATCTGCCCGCCACTGCCCCTGCTCTACTGAGTCCAGTTCTCTCTTCCTCCCTGCCCCCACAGGTGGTCACAAGTAGGGACTCACAGGAGACCCTGCTCGTCATCGCTTTTGTCTTTGAAGTCTCCACCAGCGAGCATGGGGCACAGCATCATGTCTACAAGCTTGTCAAAGACTAGCGTCCCATTGACGTCCACCAGGATGCAAGACAGACTTTCTTCCACACACCTGCCTGCCTGGGCTCCCACGGTGTGGGTTGGGGGACTCACCCACCCATGGGCTTGAGGCTGGGACCCAGGCTGCCTCCTTGGCCCCGGCACACACGCTCCCTGCCACTGTTCTGCGCTTTACTGGAGAGAAGGGGGCTCTGTGGTGATGTGGCCTTCCTGGGCATTGACCCACAGATGACCGGGTCCCACCTGGCCTCAAGTGACATCAGAGTTGGAGGATGGAGGACACCTGCGGGCTTAGTGCCTGGTCTCTGGCTCCTAAGGGAGCCATGAGCAGGTGAGGGTAGAATGGAGACCAGAGAGGCAGCTTGCAAGGCTGCCCTGGTACAAGGTGTCAAGTTGGGGGCTGGGCTAAGGATGGCCCACACTTCTCGGTACCTTCTAGGTACCAGCCTGTTCCCAGGCCCCCTGTGCAGTGAGCTTGGGTCTCCTGTATCAAAGTGCCAAGATGGAGGCTCACAAAGTGGGCGGAGCTGGAGCCTAAGTTCAGCTACCTCCCTAGAACAGGGCTGGCTACAGGGGCGGGGGCTGTGCTGGCCCAGAGCAAGCGGTACAGCTGGGCTGGAGGCTGGACAGCATACCCACAGCTAGGCACCCCTTCAATGACAGGTGGCAGGGAGCAGGAGGCTGGAACTTGAAGAGCCCTTGTCTCCTCCCCTCCCCTGCTTCCTCCACATCCAGGCCCCTGAGGGTCAACTGGCCTGTCCCCAGGTCACCTGGGTATTTATGAGTTTCAAATGAAGTACTGTGCCCCTCCTCATCCTGCCCGAGCTTCCTGAAGGTTTTCACCGTTCGCATACTGCTCAGGCCACCTCCAACCCCCACCTAGGTTTTATAACATGTATTATATGTATTTTTGTGTATTTTTAAATCCAGCTGTGATGGGCTATATCATAAATGGCTCAAGGCAGGGGCCCATGGCCTGGTTCCTGCTAAAACAATTAAAAAAGCTGTTGGGTCAGGACAGTGTGTATGTGCAGCTTCCCAATATGGCCTACCCATACTCCTAAGGTGCAAGTGTGCTGCCACCAACCACCACCACCGCCAGTCATGCGCACCCAGCACCTGTGCTCGGTAGTGGGCACAGCTCACCTTAGTGGCTTCTGGACAGTTGCTGGCAGTCAAGCCAGGATTCAGAGGCCTGGGGACTTTAGCAGCTGCCAGGTGTGTAGATTACCAGGAAGGAGCATCTACCGAAGGCCTTTAGCAGTCAGCTGTAGATGCCCAGGCTAGACCAGGCACTCAGCCAGCTGAGCCCAGAGATTCTCCTATGGAGAGGCAGAATGAGGCCGCAGTATACATGGGGGGCATTGGCAACCCCTGCAAATGCCCGTAACACCAGGATTCAAAATGGACACCTTACCCTCACTGCCTAACCCGACAAGCCTACTGCTCTAGCCTTCAGATTTACACTGTTCGAAACCCCACTAGCTTGGCTGCCAAGAGGGGCCTCCCCAGCCTCACGGGGGGGGGGGGGGGGGGGGAGGTCACCTAGAGGCTCCAGTAGATGGAAACTAACTGGTGACAGGATTCTGCTCTTTGGCTCTGGGTTGACAGTTAAGTGCTGGAACCCTGAAGTGAGCAGCTCCTGAGGTGGCTTTGCCTGTCACTGCCACAGCTCACTTCACCACAGTGCAATTTCAATTGTCCCTACTGGGACCCTTCACAACCCCTTCCAGAAAAACCCTAAATTCTGCCATAGCTTTGCCTACAAGAAAACGTTCCATGGAGAGACCTGGCTGGGACCAGAACCAAGGCCAACCAGATGTGGGCACATGTCCTGACAGCTGAATCTAGCTCCATACAGCTCCAATCACTCCAGTGGGGTTGGAACTGAGCTCAGACACAGGCAGACCAAGAGTAGAGTAGCACGAAGGTTTATTGGGGCATCCTAGTAAAGACGCTGGGGCTTGCCCATGGTGCTCTTGATATACAAAGCCCGGACATTTTGCCAGTTCTTCTTGAGCAAGGACACCAAGAAATTGACAGCCAAGTGGATGTTGTAGACCAGCTCGTCGTCCGTCATCTTCACGTGGCCGACAGCGACAGCCAGACACAGCACCTGCAGAGGCCAGGCTGGTCAACACCTAGGTGGCAGGCCCGGCTCTCTCCTGAGAGCAGGGTTCACTTCCCACCTCTAGTCAAGCCTGCTGTGCTCAAGGAACCCAAACCCACCTTCTTCATCTGGAACTTGATCGTGGACTTCACCTCGTCCACTTTGGCCACCATGTTTTCATTGTGTGTCAGCAGGGAAGGGAACTTGCCAGCCTTGTTCAGGCCTGGGCCCAGGATACGTGGGATCTGCTTGATCAGAGACTCAGAGGCCAGAAAGGCGTCATACTTCTTGGCTGTGTGAGAAGACAAGGGCTGTTCATATCCAGGCCAGAAAGGCAGAACCAACTTTTTTTTCTGGTTTTTTGAGATAGGGTTTCTCTGTTACTTTGGAGCCTGTCCTGGAACTAGCTCTTGTAGACCAGGCTGGCCTTGAACTCAGAGATCTGCCTGCCTCTGCCTCCCGAGTGCTGGGATTAAAGGCGTGCTCCACCACTGCCTGGCTCAGAACCACCTTTTTAAACTGGCCACCAAGCTGCCTCCGCAGACCCTGCACTCCTGAACCCACAATCCAGGGCACACTGCAGAGGCCCAGAACCAAGCCTAGCTATGAGAAACCCAAAGCAGGACTGCCGCTGTGCAGCCCGGGCGCTTCAGTGAGGGTGGCTGTCATGTTCAATGGCTGGGAACAGGTGTTTGGTGGGGTGTTAGCCAAGCCTGCAAGAGCGGGAGTTGTTTCCTTTCTGTAAAGGCAGGCATAACTACCGCCCAGATCAGAGGGAAGAAGGGAGCTAATGGGAGTCCAATGCGCCCACCCAGTAGCCTCACTTGCCCAAGTGCCAATGCCTGACACCAGTAAAAATCCAAAACGAGGCCACCTTCAACGGAAAGCTAAGCTGTCACAGCCCAGGCTGTCCACTTCACCAGAAAACACAACAGCTGTCTGTGTCAACTTCCCACACCTGGGAGGAGCGCCTCACTGAATGACCTCCTCCACCAGATCGGCCTGTGTGCCGCTTTCTGGATTGCTAACCGCTGTGAAGCACTCTGCGACCGGGGCCGCTCCTGGCTTGTGCCAAGGTAGACCCCTAAACCCCCTTCCGTATGGCGCCTGCCGAAGGCAGCCAGGGCCGCCCGAAACACCAAGCCAGCTGCACCTACCCAGCTTTTTGACCAACTTCTTGTTCTTATTGAGCTTCTTCAGCGCCTCGATGTCCATGTGGGGGATATCCACGGCCTTGGCCTCATCGCAGTGCTGCTGGTCCCCCAGGACGCACACCGAGAACTTGGGGCGAGGGGTGGACTTGAGCCTGCGTTGGGGAGGAGGGAACAGGTCATGACCAGTCCCCGAGAGCCCACGAGGCGGAAGGAGTCCCAGGAGTCTGGGACGGCAGCGAGCCCCGAGCCTTACCCGGAGGTCTGCGACACTAGCCTGGCTTCTCAGGCTAGCCGGCGGGCTCGGCCGAGGCCTCCCCACGCCTCCCCTCTTGTTTTAAGACCCAGGGTGGGGGTCCGTCCAGCCAGCCTGCCCGGAGCAGGGCGCCTGAACTACCCGCGCCCGTCAGTGCCCCCGTGCCCGCCTCGGGCTTGGCCAGAGCGGCAGGGCGAGGCCACACGGGGACACTGAGGGGCTGGGTGGGGTCAGAGCGGTGCCAACCTGACGGTGCCCGAGAAACGCTTGTCCTTCTGGGGGTCGTAGTTCTTCAGGCTGATCTGCAGCTCCACCGTTTCCAGAAACCTAGGCGAGAGGGGCGCCGTCAGCCCGCCGTGCCTGAGGACGCCAGGGTGCCCGTTCCGCCCCACCGGGGAGCGCCGGGGAGCCCGCCCCGCCAGTGCTTACTTGCGGCGCTTGCGCTGGTTCCCGTGCAGGACCTCCCGCACCGCCTCGTACAGGGTGTCGCGAGAGACTTTGCTGCTGTTAGGGAGAAACGAGGGCGCTCAGTGCCCGCCATGCTGGCTCCCCGGAGGGCTCGGGCCCCGCGCCGACGGACGAGGCCCACAGCCTGCCGGGAAAAGACTGGCGACGAGCACAGCCGCGGGGAGAGCCTCCGAGTCGAGCCGCACGATATCCGCGGGACTCCCGGGTGCGCGGATGGCTGCGGATAGCGCTCCGATAGCTACCTACCTCATGGCTGGAGAGGCTGCGGGAACCGGAAGGAAGAGAAGACAGAGCTCCGCGCTTGCGCTCAAATAGCTCTCCTGTTCTCGCGAGAACGGCTTGTCCCGTTGTCTGCTCGGCGCTTAGTCTGGCCGGAGGAGCGCTGCGGCTTGCGGCCGTTGGGGGCGCCACCACGCGGCTGTACCGCGACCTCGGCGCTAGGATCAGCCGGCGTCGGAACTGTGCGGGTTCTGGGCTACCGGCGCTGGAGCTGGGCTCTGAGATCGGATTTCCCTATCTAGTGCCTGACCTCTGTCTTCCCTAGTCACCAGAAGAACTCTGCTTTCCGTCTTCGCCAAATTTGGCGATGAGCCCCGGAGAGCCACGAGGCAGCTGCCCCCACTAGCCCGTACTTGTGCAATGGTCCAGCCGCCACCACTCGTGGGCAGAGACAGCGATGAGGAATAGCTCGAGGAAAAAAAACGATCCTTGAGATCTGCAGCGTCGAGAAGCGTCTTGTGACTAGATTAGGATCAGGTGCGCACCGTTTAAGCGCGAGCCTCCACCTGGGAGAAGGCGCCCACCAGTCTGCCATGGCCATCTGTATAAACTGCCCGACTCTGCCTCTGGGCGATTTGGACTCTGGACCAATGCCCCGTCTTTTCTCAATTAGTTGGCATTTCAAACAAAGCCGGCCTTCTTGCCTGACCCCCCCCCCCCCCTTTGCAGTTAATAGAGAGGAACAGGGTCAAGAGGCCGTGCAGGGGGGTCTCACCCGGATCATGACGGGGGAGACAAACTCCTTCAGGCCACCGTTTTTGGCCAGCACCCACCATTGCCAGGGGCAGGTCTGGGAATAGTTCACCTATCCTGAGCACATTCGCAGCACACATCGGGTACAGTAAAGAAAGTTCACACAGGGTCAGGGAGTGTTGAGTGGCGGGGAGCTTCAGGGGCTACCCAACTGTAAAGGCCACCAGCGGGGTGAGGGGCTGTTAAGCCAGCCTGGTCTCTTAAGCTTTGCTCGCCTTGCCCCGTCAGCTTGTTCTCAAAACCAGGCTTTCTTTGTCCCTAAGTTGATTTCCCACCTCCCGGAACAGGGGATTCGGCTTCACAGGAAGCTGCTGTCTGGGACGTAGCACCCGCCGCAGGGATCAGCTAGGAGGGTGCTGCCATGAACTTTCCTAATTCAGTAATGTCTGTGTGCTAAATTGTTGTTTCCCCCAGACAGGGTTTCTATGTGTGGCCCTAGCTGTTCTGGAACTCTCTACTTGGAGCAGACCCGGCTCAAACTCAGAGATCCCCCTTGCCTCTCCTCCCATCTTGCCATAAGAGCGGGGATGGGGGGTGGGGTGGGGGTGTGTGGTTTCTGGGGATTCAAATTAAAATCCTAAGGTCCTCAGCAAGCTCTTTACCCAGCAGCCATCGCCCAGCCACACCCACAAACATGTCTGAGAAAGGTCTCTCTTTTGCAGCTTAGGCTGGCCTCACACTGTGTGGCCTGAGCGCTGGGATTACAGGGGTGAGCCACCATGCTTGGATGAGCTTTATTAAAAACTATTGCAAAATTATTCAGTTCAGAAACAAACAGAAAAGGAGGGCCACAACATACACCTGAGCACAAAAGACTCACCCTGAGCACACTGGAGCCAGCTCTCCCAGGACACCGCCCATCTACAGCTGGTCCTCCACTGTCCCTGTACTGTGATCAGGAGTGGTAGCCAGCACAGAGCCTAGGGCCTCCTCTCTAAAGTCAAGATGGCCAGGAGTGTTGGACACCAGGGCAGCTGACTCCTGAGCTGGCTGTGCTGTGT